ATATATACTTTTTGAATTCAGCTACTCAATCATATAATTTACAATGCATCTGTTTAGTAATAGTAAGACATTTTGTGTAAGAAATTTATGCTTATTGTTAAGTATTTAATTTTGCCGAAGGCTCGCTGTTTGGCGTCCTCGTATATATACCAAAGTGATTCAACCGACGCCAGCGGACGTCTTCAGGATCCGGCGTTGGTGGGGCAGTCACGCATTCGAGACTCAATTGCAATGCTCGTCTCAGCTCGTCATCTTCGTCGGCATCATTTGCTGTAGAGTTTGTTAAATGCGTCGTTTTATCGTCAGTATGGAGATCTAATCTTAACTTCAAGCTCTTATCTACATCATCCTCGTCATTTTGCAAGCTCATCTGCAGAGCCCTTGCTAATTGCACATTTTCATCTTCCTCCTCTTCTTCTTCCTCTTCGCTTTCCTCTTTTCTACCTTCCACTCTTATGGGAATTATCCTTTCGCGAAGTTTATCCGTAGATAGCTCGGATTTATGAGAAAGTGAGGATGCACTTCTGGTTGTACAGGATGGTTCCGGAACCTTCACCTCTCCCATTGCAAGTGCAGCTTTCAAGATATCATCTTCTGCCTTGGTACCTAAACGATAACCTTTGGCTGTATTATTTGATTCCGAGTTTAAGTTACCTTTTGTGGCAACTATAGGATTCTTCAGAAGAACATCTTCGGCAGGGCATTGTGGAAGTGTACCAATAACAATAAAGATAGAGTAACCTACAAGCAAGAGAGTAATGAGTTAGCACGATATCATTGTTATTATCTTGTTTTGTATTTACCTTCTTGCAACAATTGAGCTAGATACATTGCGAGATAAGTGTCCGATATAAGCTGTGGCCCACTGAGCATTGAATTTAAATTGAACCACTGGCTTCCAAGCTTTCTTATCGTAAACCAATGTCCTTTATAGTTACAAATATATGCTTTCATCCGTCTGAAAATTATATTGTTGCTTCATGTATTACTTCATCAAAGCATTACAAAATCATTGATTTCATATTTTTCTAATAATATGTCCAAATATCATGTCCAGGGGCCTATTCTGTAACTTTTAACAATGTCAATATGTATCATTGTGCAGCTAAAACTTATTGGTACGCAAAATAGCTGCGCAATGATACCTAACGACATCGTTAAAAGTTACAGAATAGGCCCCTAAGTATCATTATTCATAATGCATTTATTTATATATTTCTTACATTATTATTGTAATTATTCTACAAAATATTTGAAAGGAGTGCTTTTTCGCAAGTGCAATAGAACAAAATATCTGAAAACAAAACACAAATCGATTGGAATAAATTATCAATAACCTACGAAGGATCATTCTGTGCCAGTAAAGCTGTTGGTTCCGTGCTGTTATATGGAATCAGTTCTAAACCCCAAACTTTCAAAGCACTGCTAATAACTTGAACTGAAAAGTATCCACTGTCGTCCATGTTTCCTGATGGTTGCTAAATACACACAAGAAGCAATATGCTATTGTTACAAATATAATTTGCTTGGCTCTTGGGGAAAATAATAGCAATGCCAAGCACTTATATGTTAAATTTTGAAGAGAAAAAGAGTGATGTGTTCTCGATAATTTAAACCACGTTGCATATAGGGGTGCTTTTATTTGTATACTATAAATATATACGTGACACTTGAAAAAACGTCACTTGCGTGACATTGTCGTATTTACCTCTAGAAACAATTTGTAATCTTCACTGTCGACGCCCGACTCGGCCATCCGGATTCTCTCCTCTTCGTCCATCTGATGACCAAAATTTGCCAAATCCACGGCGTTAAAGTAGGGACCCTGTAGAAGCGCGTTCAGGCAATGCTGGGCGCATAGATACCCCTCTTGCTGCGAAACATTGCCAGGTCGTAAGCGCAATCCTGTCTCTCTTCCGCGGAGGGATCAACATCAGATTAATTATACCACATCGGCGAGTTTACCTTCTCGTGGAATATGCTCTCCATTGCACAATCCGTCCTCTGATACGCAGAATCCGAGCACGTCAGCCGCGTAATAATAACCGCAACGCAACGTTTCTCCGCCAATTTCGCCGTATAAACGTCATCCGTAAAAATATTTTTTCGCTATAACCATAAACAAGTAAGGATAATTGTGTATAGCACTCGCTGTCGCGTATCCGCTAATGTCACTAGAATTACGCTAAATCCTAAAATTAAAAACTCACCTTAACTCAAGATTACCAACATCAGTTAGGGCACAGTATGTATGTAATTATTCAAGTCCAAATTATATATATATATATATGTAATTTATATATATGTGTATATAATGTGTGTGTTTGTTTCCTTTATATTTTGCTAAAGAATATACAACTTGATCTTATAAAATAAATTCTTTATTGCTTCTGCTTTGCAGAAAAATACTACAATTATCAAAAGAACTTTTATAAGATATTTAGATTTAGCCCTTCGTCTTACTATCTGCTATTGAATTTCTCAGAAATTCAATAATAGATTTTATTTCTCCGAATATTGAGTTTATATTTATACATTTGTGAATCGAGACCGGTCGTGATAATCGTTTATCTCATCGCGCGGCTAGTATTATATTCTTATCGTCATAGAAATAACGTTTATATATATTTCGTGTATCGTATATATGAATATGACGTATGTATGTATGTATACGTATGAGACCATCGAACGCTTCGCACCTCGCGACTGTTCGCCATGGTTCGCCGTATTATGTGAATGTAGCTGTCAACGCTGTCATAGTGTCATATAGCGTTTCCAGTCGAAACTATTATCGCCCTTGATATTATCCTCTTCCTCTAGCCGCTCTTTCACCTCGACTGCGAGAATATAAGATAAGATTGTGAAAAAATGTGAAACTTCTGATCTTTCGAGGTGGACACATTTCTTTCTGAGAAAGGAAGGTGCACGGGCGAATAATCGAGGGATCGCCTCGTGATAAGCCACGGTTATGTATTTCGATGGAGAGCTGTTTAACGACAATGGCAGCAACGTCCCCATCGAAGGTACGTCCGTTTTTATTTTTCTACGATCTTTGTATATATCCCAAAACAATCGGAACAACTGTGGATATTCAATATCCACATCCATATCCTGAATAAATAAGAAAATAAGAAAAAATAAAAAAATATCTTTTCAATTTTTCTCGCTCCCTTAATGCGAACAACTGAGCGTAGTTCTGTAATGGACATTACGAACGAAAAATATATGACCTTAGTGACAAAATATTCGTGTACATTTTTTATAAAAAATTATGTCATTAGTAACAAATAAATGTGTATACTTTGGAAAAAACATTTTTTAATTGTTTCTATTATTTATTTAATCACTATTATCGATTTACTCATTAATCAATTTTTGTCATATTAATTTTTTTCTGATTAATTATTACTATATAATTGAGATTATTTTGCATGTTTTAAAATAGCAATGTATGTAGAAGTCTCTAAAATAAAATTAATTATTTATCAAAAGGAGTGCAAAACATCAATATATATTTTTGAAAAAATAGATATATAATATATCTCTTTGAACAAAATAATTTTTTGCTATAAAATTATTTATATATAAAATGTTACATTAAGTGAATTTATTTGATATTCTAGCGAAGACTCCAGAAGGAATTGATGTCTTTAATACGCGAGCCACCACCAGGTGTACATGTAGATGGAGAATCCGCTGGACAGAATTTGACACAATGGATTGTTCATATGGAAGGTGCTAAAGGCACGCTATATGAGGGAGAACAATTTCAGCTTCAATTTAAATTCAGTTCTAAATATCCGTTTGATTCACCAGAAGTGACTTTCATTGGTGGAAATATCCCTATACATCCACATGTTTATAGCAATGGTCATATTTGTTTATCCATATTAACAGAGGATTGGTCTCCTGCCCTTAGCGTGCAAAGCATTTGCTTGAGTATTGTTTCCATGTTAAGCAGTTGTAAAGAGAAGGTATGATTTAGCTACTATGTAAATATATATGTGAGTCTTAATATTTATCTTAAAATATGCAAATAATACAAATATTGTTCTATGCAGAAGAGGCCACCTGACAATACATTTTATGTTAAAACTTGCAACAAGAATCCAAAAAAAACAAAATGGTGGTATCATGGTAAGAAAAGAATAATTTTATATATTACTATATATAATGACTATTAGTACCTGGGGTACATCTCATATGATTTGATTTGTTATTATAAAAGTAATCCTTTTTTAATATATTTGCAACACCAAAATAATTGTTTAAAACAAAGATATTGTATTTTTCTATTCACTAGATGACAGTGTCTAACATTAAAGATCATATAAAGACCTGATCAACTTGTCAACATGGAAAAATTGTTGGACCAAGTGGGATAACATTTAAATGGAACCTGATGCATTAAATTAATAGAATTTTGCATACTATATTATATAGTGATTTCACAATGTAATAGGAAATTAGATGCATAATTTTAAGAAAAGACAAGGCTACAACCTACTTACTACACAAGTTATAGAACTAATGTGAACTGCGCGAGTTGTTTAACTATAAATTATTGCAATGTTGCTGATAGTAAAAAAAGACGCGTATTATATTATAGTTACATAGAACTATATTATTGCAGGGGTCAGTTTTAATGCTAGAATGAGAGACACAGACAGGATGTATTAATTATTTATTATTAAGATATTAATATATGAAATTTTCCTCTCCTGTTATGGCAAAGATTTAGATATTAAAAAAATAATCATTTAATACATTTAGAAGACACAAAACGAATATTGTTATTGCTGCATATATACATATTATCGATATTACACTTGGTATGCATTTTAAGAATCACTTTCACTGTGTTATCTTCAATAAAACTTGATAATTATATTGATTTAATGATGTGATATTAAATTTCTTAGTAACTTTTAATCTCTCTAATCAATTTGTGTTGTACCACATATACACACTAAGAATTTGTTATTTACTTGGCTTTGTTTAAATGAATTGAATTGCAAACAAGTATTAACCCTTTCTCAACAAGGTTTTTCTTCTCAATCTCTCTCTTTCTCTCAATCCAGATTTTTACAAAATCCTAGTATTGTTTACATAAATTGTATAAGGAATAGATAGTTTATTTTTACACTTTAAAAATATTTTTTTGCCAATATCCTATTTTTCTGGGGAAAAAAAATCTACAATTTGATTTTTACACAAAATATTCGGTTACATATGTTACGATTTTAGCCGTATCTTGTAATTTTATACAACTAAAGTTGATGCGACAACGCGCATATAAATTCAACATGATATCAGTTATGATATGAAAGTCTTTATCATAAACTAATGCGGTGGCATAAAAAAAGATACCGATTGAGACTGTAGAAATTATCATTTTATACGTATGTGTGCGTATTCGTGTTAATTATCACATTTATCACATACTTTCATTTATTATTGGTTATGGTCATGTCAAATATCCATATAAGTTCAACGATTTATATATTATTCGATATATAATATATTTTTAGCAAAATATTATCGAAATAAGATGTTTACATTAATATCTCGACACTCTAAATACACACACACACACACATTTATTTTAATTCGTAATTTTATTTTACTCACAAGCAAAGAGATTTAAAGAAATCGCATGTTATCTAAAGTCTAAAGTTCATGCTACTGCATTTTTTCTCAGAGATTATTTATCAAAACGTTTTCTTCTTAGAGAAAATACAATTTTACGATTAAATTTAACGTAAAACGGCTTTATGATATAAATTGTATAATTGAATATATAAGTTTGTTCCACATACAAATGGACTTCTCTTTTTCCTTTGCATCATATTCTTTCTCCATCTTTGAATTTTTTGAAAATATACAGTTTTGTAATTTAAAATGGATATTAATAATTGCAAAATACTTGTTTTATAATTTTGCGCGCGACAAATATTTCTCGATTGTAGAAAAATTATACAATAAAAATAATATAAAAAATATTTTATGTCATTGAGATGTGTTAGAAATTTTTGAACATCCGGATAGAAGACGCAGATTCATCCGATGTGCTCCATGAAAAACCCAAGAATCATGAAGCAGCGTTATCGTATAAACCTATAAACATACGAGCCACGCATTATATATCGTTAACAGTCACCGCTGATTGTGAGAGAGAGGCAGAGAGTGGGGCCGATGATTTCTGAGCATGTTCGACAGCGCGACAGCAATCTGTTACGAGTCGTATCGAACGGAGATAATGCCGCCATTACGCTAATATTTTAATTTCGTCAACAATCTGATCAGCCAGCGCTGATGAGCGTCGAGACGCCCTGCGGCCGTAATATCCATTCTTTTCGGTAATAACGGATGTTGAACATTATACATATATATATATATATATATATATATATATATATAACACGATGCATTTTAATAATTGTAACGCTGTACTTTATAGGGTGAACCTTTTCAAAAAATGAAGGATAGATTGCTAAAGAAATTAGGAGTACAGGAAAAAGAATTCGAAAAGGTAGGCATCCTTAGCTAATCTTTTTTGATCTCTTATGAGAATTCATAAAAAAACTTTGAAGTTTAAGTTCGCGGTGGTGTCAATGGGCAAGCCACAGTTCATTATCGACTCGCCGGACTGTTGTATCAAAGTCGACGATTTCCTTCCTAGATTTTCCGGTCAGAGTAAGTATAAATTATGTTTCTATTCTCCATTTTCTAACGCATGCGAATAAAGTGAGCGTCGAATAATCGCATAGTCTCACTATATTTAGTACATAGTACATTGTAATATGATGCTGATGAAGAATAAATTTTGTAGTCTATCCACTTTTAAACGCAGGCACATCGCCACACAGGCCTTGGCTTGGCCTGGAACATGTCAACAAAGCGCCAAAGCGCTCTCGTATCAACTACCTCGAAAAGGCCATTAAGATTTACAATTAAATTTCCACCACACGAAGAAGAAATTAAATTAGGCAGCCACTTATAATAATTTATATACGACTCTGTATAGTAAGAGAATGACGTCTGATATACTAAAGGTTGGAAAATGCTTTTATGTATTCGTTTCTTCAGCCAGATTAAAACTATGCAATTTTAATACTGCGAGAACGATATCGGAAGGTAAATCCAAGCTTTGTATACGATGAATTATAAGATTGTCGTGAAATGTGCAGTGCTATTTTATGCATCATGGAAGAGCGATAAAATAGTTCCTCGATTCGAATTTGTAAAAGTTTTATTGGCCCGATGCTTACTTTGGCGTCACTCAGTACGGATTTTCGCCTAGACTTCGAGAATGTTTGATTATAAAATGCACATACATTGTACCTAATATTATTGTGTCTCTGATAATTCTCTCTAATAAACTATTTCTTTCTTTTTTTTTATTTTATTTTATTAGGAAAACGTGACTTTTGTGTGAGAAATATACCGGCTTTTATCCTATCACGTAAAATCTGTATATAATTGTTACATCCCAAGAGGTACCATATTATGTTCTGCATGATGTAACATTTAACACTCGTAACGTATTATTGGTATCGAGAAAGATTGCCTACACACTCCCCTTTTATGCTGTGTCTGTATTCAGAATATTCAAAATGTGGAGCTTGCCATTAATATTGTGCTAGAAAAAAGAGCGATGTCACATTTTTAATTTACCCGAAGATTTTGTGACGCAAAGTATATCGTCTCATAAAAATTCTAACATTTAAGACAAATCTATTCCATTGATTCGAAATATAATTCAAGAATTTCCTTCTCTTTTGTATTTTCTTCGTATTTTCGAACAAAATCTAGAAAACTATTTTATTTTATGTCGCGTTATAAGAATATAAGAGGATAGAAAGTGCGTAAGCTAAATTTCTAAGTTGCCTTTCCTGGAATATTATTCTTCTTAGAGCATATTTTTTGTGAGTTTTATCTTGTATATTTTTTACTATATAATGCCAGTACGTAAAATGCAAATATAAAAGGGTATATAGATATCTAAAACAAGAAATTGACGAAACGAGCAATGCTTAATCTAGACAAAGAAATTCTCGGTGAGATGCAAACGCTAGTTTAAGCAAATCGCATATAATAACGTATTCGTTTTTTTCTTTTTTTTTTTCACCGCTTCACCTTTAACTGCTCCATTTTTGAGAAGCAATGTGTAGGAGATAATGATTTAATCATCCAGAAATCATCATAGTATTTTCTTATTAAATTGATCATAAATTAGCAACTTATTTTTCCTTTTTATATTTAATTTATAAAATACGACAAAAAAGTAGATCTCGCACGAATGATTTTCAGGAAAGTAACCCGCGTGTTGCGCAAGAGCTCTGCTATTTGCGGATACTTATTTATCATTTTCTACACCTTACTGTGATCAATTCAATTTAGCCAACATGTATTTAAACATCATACCGCCGCCTCTGGAATATTCGAAATAGTTTAATTGTAAATGTCAAAGAAGAGGGATACCGAGCTTTCTACGTGTGCATTATTTAATAAATTTCATTTTATGTTAAGAAACTGTTTATTACTCATAAGTTTTAAATGAGTTAGATCTATAAGGATGTAAATTTAAGCTATTTTGAATGTTTAAACTTCTAAAGAATTGCAGACCACTTGAAAGTCATAACAAAATCATAATGTGTTCAAAGTGCAAAAGCGAAATTTGTACTTTGTAAAGTGGCATAAAATGGTACACCAAACACACACACATACACACACACATGTACAT